TTGTTATTGTGTTAAACAGAAAATGAAAAAACTGTGTCGAGTGTACATCCGAGTAGAGGAAATTAAAATCGACAAAGATGTAGCTCCTGAATGCCAGGATAAGGAGTCTGGCTCATTTGGAAAGGAAAATGCTGCAGTAGTGGTTTGGTGATTGCCTGTCACCTAGTTATCTTTTCTTCTTCCTAACAATGCCTTCCACCTTACTCCTAGGCTGAGGCCAGTCATCATACTTCATTTTATTTTCCTTGTCAGGGATAGGAGGTGACCTAAGGTGTGCTGACCAGACTGAATATCAAGGCTTTCTGTTGCAAGTGAAGGGACAGGAATACTATCTCTCTGGATGTGATGGCTGGAGCCGTCAGGTTGAAAGCAGAATATAGCGAGCAGAATCAACAGGAAGGGAAGCTAGATCTCTGAAATCATGCTCAAAGTCCAGACTCTCTACTTTTTCATTTACTTTTTTTAAAAACCAACTTTATTGAGGTTTAATTTACACACAGAAAAACGCACACATTTTGAGGTTGTATTTTGATGAATTTTGACAAACATGCAAACCCATGTAACACACCCCAGCAAGCTGTGGGCCATTTCCATCACCTCAGAAAGCTCTTTCATGGCCCTTGCAAGTCAGTCACCCTTACCTGCACTCCAGGTGACCACTCATCTGGTTTCTCTCTCTGTAGATTAGCATTCCCTGTGCTGAAAATCTATGTAATAGGGTCATACAGTGTGAAATCATTTGTCTGGCCTCTTCTGTTCTCTGTGTTTTTGGAATTCCTCTTTTTGATAGATTTTCTCTCACCCAGCATATGTCCATCTTGGAAAGAAACTCCTTTTGAAAGTCATGGCCTACTTTATGCTCCCACTGGCAGGTTTCAAGAGCTCCAGGGGAAGCCTGTTTCAAAACTGTTTCAGGCAGCTGGGAGTAGCACTTCCTGCAGGGATATCAAGGTGTTCCTCACACTTCCCACCCTTTCTGGTTGGAATGGCCCGCCAGCAGCGGTAACTTCCAGCTTGGAGTGTGTAACCCCTCATTGTCCAGTGGTAGTTCTCAGCCTGGCCTGATAAAGTCTTGCCTTACACATAGTGCTTTAGCATACAGCCTGAGACATGGACCCTGATACAGGTGCAGGTTTTTGTGGTGTTTTGGTTTGGTTTGGTTATGGGAGGCTCCCCCTCTCTGCTGCTGTGAACCTTCCTGCTGCCTCTGGCACTATAACCTGCAGTCCCTGTCCCCAGCTTGGCAAGATCTCCATGCTCTGCCTGGGTCCCTTCTGTGCACTGGAGTCCAGGGAATCTCTAGGCAGGAAGCCAGTGCAAGCATAGGGCCCACGTCCTTTGCTGCCTTTTTCTCAGGGACCAGTCTTGTGAGCCATGATCCAGGGTCTGAGTCATACCTCACATACCCTCCACAGATTTTAGAATGACTAACCTTGTGCAGGGAACTAAGAGATTCCTCCTTAAAGAAATACGTAAAATGTTAAAGGAAGTCCAAAGGCTAGAGAGACAGCTGACGCTTTGCTAAAAGAAATCCATTGTTACCAGAAAGAAGAGGTAGAATGGAAGAGTGGGTAACAAGCAATGAAGCGTTAGAAATAGTTAGGAAAAGCCGGATTGTAGAAAGCTTGGCAAGCCCTGTTAGGATTTTGGACTTTTTCCTTAAGTATAATAAAATGAGAGCAATCTTTTGATTTTTTTTTTTTAGTTTATATATGTATATTTATGCCTGATAATTGCTCTCACTGCAGTAGTGGAAAAGAAATTGTAGGGTGCTGAGCATGTTAATTACTTGGAGCTGACTGTTACTTTTCATGTTTTCTATATTCTTATTTTTTCCTTTTTTATAATATGAATAAAATTTTAACAATGTGATCCTATTTATAACAAATTTAGTCATTGTTAAAGTATAGAAAACAAGCCTTTCTAATTACTGTTACAGATTTTTTTCTCCAGTTTGTATGTACCCTTAAGCTCATCAGGGTTTATATGAATGCATATATGTATACATATGTATGTCTTGGTGAAACAGAGACATACCTATTTAAACTGTACATACATAATTTTAAAGTGAAAATTAGATCATACGCTAATGCTGTTAATGTAATATACATATCTGCCAAATTTAGTACATGTAGACTTATTTCATTCAGTTTATTGAATGTTTTATTAAAAGACTATCATTTATTCATTCACGTGTTGGTGTAGGTTTATTTATTTTTTTCTATTATAAAGAATTCTCCATTTTAGGGTTGAGATAGAGGCACAGAGAAGGTAGGTAGCTTGCCCTAAATTGCACACTAAGTAGTGGAGTTGGTATTAGCCTCCTGGCACTCTGTTCCGGAAGGCACAGACATAAATACTGCATTACACTATTTTTTATTTCCCCCTGCCTGTCTTTACTCTGCTTGCTGAATTGGAAAAAGATTTAATGTATAAAATACACCTAATAATAAAACTCATAGTTTTATATGCTACTTTACGGATATTAAAGACTATTGGTCAGAATTCCCACTGCTAGGACAATACCAACATCTGCAACTTAAAGGAGGAAATGGTTTATTTGGCTCCTGATTTCAGAGGTTTCAGTCCACGGTGCTCCCTTCCTGGCTACTGGAAAGAGCTCAGGAGGGAAGAAGGGAGGGAAAGACAGAGCCTGGGCCCACCTCCTAACAGCTCATTCTGCTGGGAGATAGCTCCCTGAAGGTCCAGTCACTCTCCAGGAACCACATGTCAAGGTGACAGGTCAGTCGACACAGAGACCTTAGCATCACATGTGACACACCTTGTGTTCATGGCTGTGCAGAACATAGAAGGCGTAAAGTGAAACCTTACCTGTGTCTCAAGCTCTAATTTGCACCCAGATGACTGAGGACAGGAAAGGACCTTGTTAAATTTTGATTCTGTAATCAGGGGTGCACCCCAGGGCTCCAGTACTGTCTGTGCTTGTGGTTAGCAAGGGTTGAAGCAGTTTATAATGATCTTTGGCTAACTTTGGGAGGTGTTTCACTGAATGTACTTCTTACTTTTGCTACCTATTTTTAATGAGTATGGTGTGGTGAAGAGGCGGATGGCCACTTTCTAGTAGTTTCAGTTCTACATATGTAGCATTTAACAATGCTGGGGAAAAGAAATTGTGCCTTACGTCGTGTTAGCACACAGTATGTGAGTAACTCTGATCAGGTTTATTTATATACTTGTGGCTTACACACACATTTCACCTTTCTATTCTATCATTTTTGAGAGAAACAACAGTTCTTTTCATTTTGAAGGATATAGCTGTAGTTAGCTAAAAATGTTTTATTACTATTATTTTATTATTTAGTAAAATGATATGCTTTACAGAGTTACAGAAATGAATACCTGTTCAAGGCTCTTGCCAGGTATTTTTTCAGGTGCTCAGCGGGCACGATTTCATTCATTGTTACGCCAGCGCTTGTGTCCCAGCTGCTCCAGGCGCCCTGCCCTCAGTGGGAGCAGTTCATTTGCAGGGGAGGTGCGTGCAACAGTCCAGCAGTCAGAGGTGAGAGCTGCGAAGGAAAAGCTGTGTAGTGTTTCCAACCACTAAGGAGAAATCTGTTGCACCTTATGAGTGCCTTCCAACCCGAGCCCTGCCCCCCAGCCTGTGGCACCCCTGCGCCCACTCTGAGAATTCTCTCTTTGTCGGTGGGTACCTGAGTGGTTGTGATGCCAGATCCAGCTAACAGGAGAGAGACAAAACTTTAGAGGTAATGGGCAACCTGCAAGAAAGGACAGTGGTAGTGGGAAGTAATTTATAATACCAAATAATTTTCAAAAAATGAGTGCATGAAGGAGCACTGCTCACATTCATTCAAGGCGGTAAATGAAATATCCTTAGTACTTTAAGTGGATTCTGTTAGAACCATACTTTTATTTTATTAGGCTCCATTCAATAAGTTATTTGAATGTTTCTAAGTGCTCAACTCTGGAGTGAGGTATAGAAAATCAAGGGCTTCCAAACTGGGATATAACTTTCATTGCTCTTAAACTGTTAAGAGTTGCTGGTGAGAAAAGGTTGAAGGATTTAGAAAATAGTAATTCAAGATACTATTTTTTTAAAGAAGTACCAGTATGTGTGGCCCTGGAGGTAATTACACTATAGCCCTGGCTGATTGTCCTTGCTGTAAGAAAAATGCTGTGTTTTTGTTTTGTTTTGTTTGGCAGGTACCATCAACCAGAACTGTAGGTTCAACTCAATCTTAGAGGGAAACATTGTCACAAACATTAGCTTTAAACAAATACAATCGAAAGAACACAGTTCCCAGGGCCCAGTTCCCTCACATTCCCTGTCTCACCCTTGCACTGCTTCATGTAACCCTAACCCCATGTGCACTGAGCAGCAGCTTCACCCTCAAGCCCCTTTGCGCAGCAGCTTTGAGGAGTGAAAAGGCAGGGGGTGTGTGTGTGCCCTGGACTGGACAGAAGAACTGAAAACATGAGCAGACAGGCTCAAAGTAGTGACCTGCTGATGAGGACAGGGGTGGGGTCATCAGGAGTAAAGACACAAATATAACACGTTGTCACTGAAGCTGTGACAAAAGAACAAAAGGGAAAAAATGAGAGAGGAATTTATGAAGAGAAAGGTAAAGTCAGAGCACTAGAAAGAGCAAGTTTTAAAGCCAGACATGACTAGGAATCCAGTGATAGAAAACAAGTTAATAACTTCTGGGTGGGAAAGGTAAGATCACTAAACAAGAGAAATGCTATTTTGAGACATGCTTCTCTCTCTTCTGGTAGTAGTATGAAGTTCACCTTTGATTACAGTTAGAAGTTCTTTCTGCATTGTGATTTTCAAAATGTTTCATTTTTCCCTACTATTATGATTTGGGGTTTTGTAGTATTTCAAAGATTACTATAGAAATTTTAATTTAGTTTCTGAATATTAAATGTAGTTCTGTGTAGCTGTTTTTCTTTTAAAGAACAATCTGAAACTTTATAAATTTTATCTTGGAAATTAGTTTATTCATTATGTTTAATTTTAGGAAGTGGCGCTCTTGCAGAACATTCTGAAAATGTGCATATTTCAGGAGTGTCAACTGGTAAGTCATTTTTTGTAATGTTTAAATTTCATGCATGACTTACATGGTAAATATTGAAAGCTACCTGGTATCTTACAAAGTGCTATTTGGCTGTAAGAACTATTACTGCTTTCTGCAGCATGTAATAAGGAATGAAATACCTGGAACACAGAGAAATGCTCATAAGATAAAAATGATACTTGCATGCCTGTGGATTGATTGTACTTTTCCAAACATTCTGCATAGTTTTTTATATAAACATTTAACCAACAGAAAAGTTAAGCACAAGTTCAGTTAGTATTTTCTTTCCATATGAAGTTATGTGAATTGAAATTTGCTAAAAGGTAATTTTGAAGGCTATCCCTGGGATTCAGAGCTTAGAAATTAAGTGTTTTGCTTAATTTTTAGATTAGAATACTGCTCTACATAAAACTGTTGTACTTGAGTGCACAGTTTATTTGCTACTAAAACCAAGCCAAGAACATACTTATGTCCATGAAATTCAGAAACTCGTTGAGGTAAATGCATTTTTTCACTCATCTATGATTTTATAACTTAATTACTTAAAGGTCCCTTTCCAATTAAATTTCCATTCTTAGATGACTTCCGTCCACAACTCTGTTACCATATTTGCTACAGCAAATATTGGAAAATATGAAAATATTTATTTTTTGCCTGCCCTGAAATTGTTTGTTACTATCAGTAACTAATTATTAAAGTTTATTTCCCTATATTCTTAAGTTTTATGTGATTAAAAATTGTGCTTGGTTTATTTATCAACCTATTAATTTGATTACAAATCTTAATATTTGATTTTTCCTCACTCATCTTTTGTGTCTGACTTCATATTCAGAAAGTTAGTAGACTTATCACATACTTACGGGTCCGGATGCACTCGTCAAACACATCAAGAAGCCTGGTTTTCCTGAAAATAGTAACACATGCCTCTGTAGCCTCTGTTAATTCTTTCACATTTGGTCTTTACTTTTTGCATATGCATACAAATGGCACATAATTATATACCTGAGGTAAAACTAAGGTTATTCTAAAGATGACCTTGTATCCTTTAACTTTGTATTTTGAGTAACTAATGAAAACGACGATACTTTTCCAAGTTACAACTTATCAAGTGAAATTGTTTACATGCATTTTAATTTATACAACTAAAAGATTACTGTCTAATTAGGTGATTTTCAAGATTTTTGGTCTCAGGACCAAAATTGTGGGGGCCTCTTAGTCTTTTAAGGCTGCCATAACAGAAATGCTCATGAGTGGCATAAATAACATGCAGAATTCCTCGCAGTTCAGGAGCCTGAAGCCCAAGATCAAGGCGCTGGCAGGATAGGGTGGTTCCTGCAGAGTCTGTCCTGGCTTAGTGGGGACCACCTCACCGTGGCCTCACTGACCATTCTGTGAGCTCAGAGAAAGAGGAGGAGGCTGTCTTTTCTTATGTGGACACTGATTCTGCTGGATGGGAACCTTACCGCCTTACTCTGTGTCTATTACAATTTTTTTTTTAATTGTAAAAAATACTCTGTTTCCAAATGCTGTCACATTGGGAGTTAGGTCTTCAGCGTGTAAGTTTTGACAGGGAGTAAATCATAACATGACATGAAGAGTTTCTGCTTATGTAGGGCTGTCACTACCATATTTGCTGTATTAAATCCAGAGCTGAAATCATTTACATTTAAAGAGATTATTCATGTTAGTAGATTAGTATCAACTGTATTTGTATCTTTCTCTTTGCTTTTTCCCCCCTTTTCTTCCTTCTCTTGTTTTAAATATTGTATATTATTCACTTTAAAAAAGAAAAATGAGAAATTATCTTCAAACTTACAAGTTCATTGTAAAGTAGCAGTGATAAACCAGTTGCAACTTACGTCAATAACATAGTTTTATGAAAAATAAGTTTTCCAAATTAAGAACATCAATAAAGGATATCATTGTAATTTTATGGTCTTTAATGATTAACTTTAGAAAAGAACTGCATTCTCACATCTGTTTCAACATGTGTCATTTGCAGCATGTTTTGTTTGACATAGGTAAAGGTAGTCCAGCTGCTGTGTAATTGGAAAAGGAAGGAGTGTTTGAATGACTTTTCCCAGGTAGTTGTGAATATTCTTTTGTGATACTGTACCAAATTTCATCAAGTGGTAGTTAAAAGGTCCATTGCAAAGCGGAATCTGAAACCAGATCAGTGAACTTTTTGTACTCTGTTACACTAAAACCCACTTGGCTTTTCTATTTTCTTCTTGTCTGTGATTTTATAATATGCATTAATCATTTGGAAAATACTGATTTGCTGAGTCAGGCAGATTTAATATGGACTGTGCAAAGCAATAAATGTTGGACAGATCCAATATCTGCTCAAATTCTGAATTTTGCATCCACTCAGTATTAGATTATACTTTTATCTGTTTGCTTGAGATCAAACTACTGGGCTCTTCTTGAGCATTTATATGAGTCAAATTCCTATTTGAAAAATCAGAAATTCACTTTAAATTATGTAAAAGATGTTTTATAATTTTAAACTTTTGTCCCTTACGAATTTCAGACATCTACTTAGAAATATGTATTAGTTTGCTAGGCCTTCATAACAGAGCACCACAGAAAAAGCAACATAAATGTATTTGCTCATGATTCTGGAAGCTGGAAGTGCAAGATCAGGCTGTCAGAGGCTTTGGCTTCTTTGCCTTCTCTCTGTTTTGCAGCCGACTATCCTACTATGCTTCCCCTGGCCTCTCTCTTACCTGTGTTCTGATCTCTTCTAAACCGACCCGTCATGCTGGATGAGGGCCCACCGATGTGGCCTCATTTTAATTTAAGCTCCCCCATTAAAAACCCTCTCTCTAATTACAGTTACATCACAAAGTGCTGGTATTAAGACTTTAATAAGTGGGACTTTTGAGGGTGACGGAATGTCAGCTAGTAACAAAATTTCGGCTAGTAACAAAATGTTTGCTTTAATTAAGTATATCTAGAAACAATAAAACTACATTCAGAGTGTGATCAGTGGTAGATCACTTTCTTAGCACATGAGGCCCCAAGTTCAACCCTCACCTCTGGAAAAACTAAAAACAAAACATCATTTAAGAAGTCAGTGAAACCTTATTAAGGGATTATTATATTTTCTGATGGCTGCTCTTACAAAATCATTCTTCTGTGGAGTGAAAAGAATAATGCATGAAATTTATTCCAGTTCCACCATTTTTAAAAATGGATACTGTCTCAGAGGTGCTTTTGGGTACAGAGATTTATTGTATTTTTTCTTTGGCTGGTGTGGAACTATAAACATATAATGTTTAATATGGTACAAGTGGATTATCTCTTACCTAGAATGGAAGATTTTGAATGTTTTTGAACTTTGGAATATTACATAAACTTTATTGGTTGAGTATCATCTATCCAAAAATCTGAAATCCAAAATGCTTAAAATACAAAACTTTTTGAGCATCGCGTCAGCACTCAAGAACTTAGATTTTGGATGTCAGCTTTATAATTTCTGAAATCCTTCTGTTGCCTGAAGAAGTGAGGATTCCTTCAGTGCCGATGTACATGGGAACCAGACTTTGGGTGAGTGGGTGAGTAGGGTCTGCTTTCCTCTGCGACCAGCCAGCAAGGGAATGGTGAGTGCCTGCTCTTCCTCCCCTGCCGCTCTCTGTGCTGGTGCTCAGGGCCCTGCTGCACTCACCTGCACACTGGGAAGTCTGCTGACAACTTCAGCGGGGATGTAACTAGTCTACAATTGGTCATCAGGTAATTGATTGTCCAAACCAAGATGCTTTGAAAGTGAGAGCATGCTATTTTTAAATTACATTGTCACCAGCGACAAAACCAGGAGTGTCTTAGGCAAATCAGAAGTAGTCATCATTTACTCATTTTACTTCATTTTACTCTGCATGTTTTAAAGCACTTGGTTAGGGCCTTGTGTCAAGAAGGGCAGGAGTAATCACTGAGTAAAATACTCTTGTTTCACAGAACCTGCTGGATGGAGGATTAAGAATGTGCACATGCACCTGCAGTGTGGTCTTAATGCAGTTAACCCTATGGCGATAATGACCAGATTAAGCTAGATAACAAATTTATAAAAAGTATAGTTACAATGTCTAGTGAATGATTTAATATTTTGAATGATTTAATATTTTGTTATTTTCCTAAGAAATAGTACCAAGTGCTTCATTTTGTTTACTCCGGCAATTTGGGGGAAATTTATTAATTTCTGATTGATTATATAGTTTGGGTTCCCATCCTTAAAACACATTGTTCTGTTCTATTCGCTCCTGTCCTCTTCCTCCTTAAATCCTTGCCAAGAGAAATAAGTCTACCCGTTTTCTGGTTGTTATGCTACAGGTTGGAATAAGAAATCTTAAATTGTCAAAAATGATATCTAGTAAATATGAAATGGGAAAAAACTATTGAATAAAATCTTATTTTTAATATTTTTCTTTAAAACTTTTCATGGGCCAGAATTTTAAATCCTCTTCCACGATAGAGAAATGAGAAAAGACAAATGGTATTTTTATAAATCTAATATGTAAAAATCATGAAATTATAGAAACTTATCAAAGAATTTAATTGTGTTTATGAGTGGGATGATTATTTTAATGTTTAAAAAATAAGTTTAAATTACATGTTATGTTCTTTTTTAAATGTTCTAAATTTTTTAAATAGCTAAATTATTACTTATATGCTACATGGAATGAAACATATTTTAGGCTGGTTGATTTATAACAAGACCTTTGCATGCATTAACAAATATATTTGATTTTTTAAAATTCATCTACTTTAAATTGAATTTACCCTGTAATTCATATTGCCTTGAATCAATACTTGATTATGCTTTCTCTACTCTTGATTACTTCTAAATTACATTTGTTTTCACAAATTCTGTTTATACATTATAAAAGTTTCACTAAACATTTAGAAAAACTTAAAAACCATTAACCCTACCCTCTTACTTTAATTACTAATATTATAATTTCATTTGTCATCTGCATACCATAAAAAGTTGTATACTCATT